AGAGGCTAAAAAATCTGAATCGTAGCTCAAAGTAGCAAGAAGAAAAGATAAAAGTAGCAGATCGGCAGCTAAAAGAAGTTTGAGGCTTGTTTGGAAGGGTTGAAGCTGATGCTTGGACCAAACTGGGTCCAACAGGACAAAGACCCCAAAGGCAGCAGCTGATCTACAACAGAATGGGTCAGTCAAGTTGCTGCAACGGTGCGGTCAGAGTCCAGAACCTCAGCCTGAACGAAACGTGCTGTGATGGGACCTTCCGAGAGCCGAGCAGAACCTTCAATGAACTGAAGCAACGCTGGAAAGAAGAGTGGGCCAAAATTCCTCCACAACCATGTGGTCCAGAACACCAGAGTTCTTGCTGCTGAAGGAGGTTGTTTAATAAATAATGACTCGGTGGAATCTGGTTTTGTTCACTTGAGGTTAGGTTTGAATAATTTGGGAACCGGTTGAAGAAAAGTGCTTTTTCTTTTTTCGTCTAGCGTTCTGTAAAACCCTAGATTTGGAGAAAAAGTTAAAAAGTCATTTAAAAGCTAAACAGAGAAAAAATATTTGCTAATTGCTGCAAAACACTAAAATCTAATTAAAGCAACATAATTAAATTATTGCTAAAATCTTTTGTCCTTTCTGCTGCTCTCTTTAAGCTAACTCACACAAAATCATTTAGGAATTGTTTTATCAATGTCCTCCGTAGCTCAGTAGCACATTGCTCCTCAAAAAATGCTAGCTACAAGCTAATTGCAGCACAATGCTAACTAAAACTAAACAGTGAAATGTTTAAAGTAGCAACATGCTAGCTAAATTACAGTGAAAAGCTAATAAAAGTAATATGCTTGCTTAAAGCCACAAGTAGCAAAATACTAGCTAAAAGCTAAACCCAGCTAAATGTTACCTAAAAGTAGCAAAGCACTTGCTAAAAGATATTAGTCATCTGCAAGCTAAAAGTAGCAAAATGCTAGCTAAAAGCTAAACATAGCAAAGGTTAGCTAAAAACAACAAAATGCTAGATCATGTAGGTAAACATTAAAAACTAATACATGTGATATGCTAGCTAAAAGCCAAAAGTAACTAAATCTAAACAATAGCTAAACCTTATAAAAGCAATATGCGAGCTAGAAGCTAACCCCAGCTAAAAGTAGCAAAGTGGCAGCTAAATATCACAAAACACTAGCTAAAAGTAACAAATTGTTAACTAAAGGTAGCAAACAGTAATGTACAGTATATTTATTTTTTGCCTAATGTGGTGCTTTGCATTATGGGTAAACATTCCTACTTTAATCTCATCTTTCTAACAAAAGTTTCAGAAGTTTTTTTTCCCCTGACATCTCTAAACATGCCATATTTAAGTTTGTTTTTTCCCTAATTACCCTTTCATGACCTTTGACCTGCAAACTGAAGCCTGTAGAGTAAATGGAGTTCATTGCGCTGAGCACTGCACGGTCTGACCTTCAGGGTGGGTCGGACTCCAGGGAAGACTGGCATCTTGCTAAGTTTTCTACTTTCTCTCTGGAATGATAGAGAAGTTAGAAAAGGTCAAAGGTCATTGCCGATGTCTTCCTGCCTTTGCGCGGTTACACAATTGCATGTTCTGTAAACTTTAAAGTGCATTTTTAAGCTGTTTGTTTTTATCTACAAACATGGTGCACAGTTTAAACTGCAGATTTAAGTCACAATAAAATCCTAACAGCTGTGTTTTCCAGTCTGCGTTTTTTTTTCTTCAAAACATTTTAGCAGGAGCTCTGCAGGCCTCGACTGAAGGATGACGACTGTTCAGCTGGTTTGAAGGTGTGAATGTGTGCAAAGTGCACCTGAAAAGCTGGCGCCACAAAAATCACCAAAAGGAAAAAACAAAATATATGTTGCTCCAACCTTTATTTACAGTCCTGTTTTTTTATCTCGTTTTTAGTGGTACTAAAGCGCCGCTCATATAAAATCTATTCAGTTTGGGAGACAAACACAACTCGGACACCGCGGGTGAAGAAAATCAATCTCGTCAACCAGGAGAGGAAAAAGAAGAAATGGACGCTTCGATTAACTTGTCGGCTCGGCAGAAACCAATTTGTGTGTTTTTTCCAGCTGTTTGTCAATTCTGAAACACATTTACATTGTCCTGATGTTTGGAGAAGAAATTAGCAGAGGAGCCCAGTCCTTCAGATTTTCCAGCAACTTGACATTTCGATGAATAAATGTGTTTTCGGTGACGGCACAAAAGACACGCAATTAATTGAACTGCAGCTGTCGAAAGCAAAATCTTCAGCAAGTCAACGGGGACGGATCGGAACCAAATCACCAGGAGGAGATCATTTGGGATTTAGATGAGAAGAGCGAGCTCGCAGCAATGCAGCGCTTCTTCAGCTGTTTCATTTCGTCGAGGCTCGGCGGCTCGTACTGCGCCGTGAACGCACAACAACCGAGACTTTATGTGACAGACGGTGCACGATGGTGAAGCAGAAGAAAAACGATGCGCGGTTAAAATCGTTAAGTGCAGCAAACGTATTCAGCCCCCTTTGCTCCGTCACATTCAGAAGTCCTCCTGTCCGTAATTTAACCTCAGCATAAATGCAGCTGTTCAGAGGTCAGTTCCAGAACATTAAGGACCAAACGGCATCATGAAGACCAAGGAACACACCAGACAGGTCAGGGAGGAAGTTGTTGAAGCCAGGTTAGGTTATAAAACGTCCCAAGATTTGAAAGTCACGGAGCTCTGTTCAATCTCTCATTCACCTGACGGGGAGAGCTTTAATCTGAGAAGCCCCATGGAAACTGGAGGAGCTGCAGAGATCCACAGCTCGGGTGGGACAATCCATCCATGGGACGACTACCGTAAGTCCTTTTATCTGGATTTTATGAACAAGTGGCCAAATTAAAGTTATTGTTGAAAGAGAAATAAGAACCGTTTGCAGTTTGACACAGCAAACATGGAAGGAGCTCCGCTCAGATCAGATCAAATGACTGAATTAAATTTTTTTTAAAAGCCCGAGCACATTCCCACTGTGAAACACGGAGGTGGCAGCATCATGCTGTGGAGCTAAATACAGGACAGTCCTAGAAGAGATTGTGCTAGAGCAGGGCTATTCAACACAACAGCTCAGGGGCCAGTCATCCATCAATTAAAGTCATTATGTAAATAAATAGTTTTACAATGTTATGAAGTCGTTGGGCCGGAGTGAAGTCACCCAGGGGTCAGAAGACCTGAGACTGGAGCGGTCACTGTTGCAGTTCTTAGAGATTTAAAGTAAAAAATACAAAAGTTACGCTCAACTTTTGCGTTTGTCCAGTAAAATACTTTGAAGTTTGTGGTATTACCATGACAAAATGTGTAGGAATACTTCTTCCGGGCAAAGTATTGAACGTCTCGTTACACCGATGCAAAATATGATTATCTTATAGAACAAACTTTACAGAAAGCTTTAATGTGTTTGTTTCACGTATTGCAACGCTCGGTAAATATTAATGAACTGGATCATTTATGAGCCATCAGAAGGACCGGAAGAAACGTGAGCAGGCCTCACTACAGCGCACGTAGCTGCTGCCGTCGTCTCAGATTTCTGAATGAAGTGAATCAAAGGAAGCCCGGCCGCCACACGGCTGAAAGGCAAAACAAGTCGGCGGATTATCTTTAAAAATTTTTTATTCAATGTTCGACTGCAGCAGTGTTGAACAAAAATACGAGCAAAAAATGAATTTAGAGGAGCTGTGTTAAAAAAAGTCAGCACATAACGCCGGCTCGTTACCCATCAGTCGAGATCGGCACTCCGGTGACTTAATAAGAAACAAACTCAGGTCACAAATCATACAAAAACAAAACAAAACTGACAAATATGTTGGAACCCTTACAGCTTAATGAAACATTTGTCAGTTTAAAGTAATTGTTAATACGTGACAGAGTTAATAAAA